GATAGCCTTTACAAAAGTATGAGCATATAAAGAAAGCCAACTTCTAACAACATTAAAGTTAATTGAGTCACCATATCATCACACAACATTATAGCATGCATTAATGCATTGTAAGATCTTGATCAGATCAGTCATTTTAATTATAAGGGATGTGATAAAATCCCATTTAATAAATCATAACTAAACTCTTTAAGATCTTGAAAGATCATACAAGATTTATACCTGATCTTAACTGATAATATACGATTTATTGCCTGATCTTGAAAGATCATACAAGATTTAGTTCCTGATCTTGACTGATAATGTAAGATTTAATTCCTGATCTTGAAAGACTATGCAGTTAAGTCAAGATAATGTAAGATTTATTGCCTGATCTTGAAAGATCATACAAGATTTATACCTGATCTTGACTGATAATATACGATTTATTGCCTGATCTTGAAAGATCATACAAGATTTAGTTCCTGATCTTGACTGATAATGTAAGATTTAATTCCTGATCTTGAAAGACTATGCAAGATTGAGTTCTTAATCTTGACTGATAAGTCAAGATAATGTGAGATTTATTGCCTGATTTTGAAAGATTATACAAGATTTAGTTCCTGATCTTGACTGATAATGTAAGATTTAGTTCCTGATCTTGATTGATAGCATAAGATTAATCGTCTGATCATGTCTGATCATGTAAGATTTATCATAAGATCTTGACAAGATTTATCATAAGATCTTGACAAGATTTATCATAAGATCTTGGCAAGAATTTGCAACTTCTTGTCAAATAATCTGGCAAGAACAGGCATGATTAATCATGCATGATCATTATAAGGTTTCATAAGATCTTAAGTAAGATCTTACATAAGATTTTTTTCCTGGGAGTGCATTAAATATTTGTAAAGTTATCTCAATATCATGTGTGCTTTACCTTTAATGTTCATTCATGTAAATTTGAAGACAAGGCGTCAACTCCGCCCTCTAAAAAGGACTTGAGATCCTTGACGGTACATACAGTACAAATGGAACACAAAAATGCAAAATTAGATCAATAATGATCGAAACTATACTCTTTAAAATGGTTAAATGAAGTGACAAAAGGCCAAAACGCCATATTAGATGGGATGCATGACTCCGCCCCCCACGATGACCTCTTCTAAACCTGAGGCACATACAAGTCCATTAAATATTTGTAAAGTTATCTCAATATCATGTGTGCTTTACCTTTAATGTTCATTCATGTAAATTTGAAGACAAGGCGTCAACTCCGCCCTCTAAAATGGACTTGAGATCCTTGACGATACCTACAAATGGAACACAAAAATGCAAAATTAGATCAATAATGATCGAAACTACTCTTAAAAACGGTTAAATGAAGTGACAAAAGGCCAAAACGCCATATTAGATGGGATGCATGACTCCACCCCCCAACGATGACCTCTTCTCAACCTGAGGCACATACAAGTCCATTAAATAATTGTAAAATTATCTCAATATCATGTGTGCCTTACCTTTAATGTTCATTCATGTAAATGTGAAGACAAGGCGTCAACTCCGCCCTCTAAAATGGACTTGAGATCCTTGACGGTACCTACAAATGCAACACAAAAATGCAAAATTAGATCAATAATGATCGAAACTACTCTTAAAAACGGTTAAATGAAGTGACAAAAGGCCAAAACGCCATATTAGATGGGACGCATGACTCCGCCCCCCACGATGACCTCTTCTAAACCTGAGGCACATACAAGTCCATGAAATATTTGTAAAATTATCTCAATATCATGTGTGCTTTACCTTTAATGTTCATTCATGTAAATTTGACAAGGCGTCAACTCCGCCCTCTAAAATGGACTTGAGATCCTTGACGGTACCTACAAATGGAACACAAAAATGTAAAATTAGATCAATAATGATCGAAATTACTCTTAAAAACGGTTAAATGAAGTGACAAAAGGCCTAATTGCCATATTAGATGGGACACATGACTCCGCCCCCCACGATGACCTCTTCTCAACCTGAGGCACATACAAGTCCATGAAATATTGTAAAATTATCTCAATATCATGTGTGCT